AGCGATGAATTATTGATTTACAGCATGGACTGCGGAAAAATGAACAAGTGTGCGATCTTTCTTCCTACCGAAGACGATAAGTGGTTAAATTTTCGCAATTACGATAGAAAGAAGCGACTTCCGTTCGTAGTGTACGCTGATCCGGAATGCGCGCTGGAGAAAAAGAAAGAAGAGAGAACATCGAACACATCCATCGTTCAACATCATAAGGTCTACAGTGTAGGATATTACATACGATGCGCGTTCGACGATGCTAAATCGACATACAGAACATATCGCGGTGAGAATTGCGTATCGGGAATTGCGCGATCTGGCGCTTTACGCAAAGAATATTCTCGGCGCAAATGTGTCTATGGCGAATTTTACACCGGAGGAGCGGGAGAGATTCAAGAGCGCGACACACTGTCATGTGTGCGAAAAACCGTTCGGACTGGAAGATGTCCTCGTACGCGATCATTGTCATTTGACCGGTCATTATAGAGGTCCCGCGCATTCAAATTGCAATTTAAATTATAAGAAATCGTACGTCATTCCTATATTTTTTCACAATTTATCAAGTTACGACGGGCATTTTATTATTAGAGACGTGGTTAACGCCTTTCCTGGCAGTGTCAAATTGCTACCGTTGACGAAGGAAACGTACATCTCTTTCACAAAGAATGTCGAAGATGAGTCGAACGAGGGAAGATGGTTCGCGCGCGGGAGACGCGTAAAATTGCGCTTCGTGGATTCCTTCAAATTTCGAGGTGCGAGTCTCGAAAAATTGGCATCGTATCTCGGCAAGAGTGAGTTGACGATTGCACGTTCAGAATTTTCCGATCTTGATGATGCCGATTTCAAGTTCCTTACGCGAAAAGATGTATTTCCGTACGAGTATGTCAACAGCATCGATAAATTGCGGGAGACTTGTTTACCACCGCGCGAATCATTCTATAGTTCACTGACCGGTGATATCATCCAGGAGCTATTACGCGCACGCGATAAAAGTCTGGAAGTGGTTTCACATCGAGAGATTGGGAGACTATAGCGATTTATATTTGAAAACTGATGTTCTTTTATTAGCCGATGTCTTCGAAAATTTTCGCGACGCGTGTACGAGGAGTTACGAGTTAGATCCCGCGCACTACTATATGTTATTTGGATATACAGTGGGATGCTATGTTAAAGCATATGGGCGTTCGATTCGAACTGTTAACCGATATTGATATAGTGATGTTCGTGGAACGCAGAATACGCGCTACGGGTTAAGTCAATGTTTCAATAAATACGCGCGCGCTAATAACAAGTATATACAGTCGTATGATCCTTTGGAACCGTCGTCGTATCTCATGTATTTCGACGTAAATAATTTGTACGGATGGGCGAAGTGTCAATCGTTATCTTACGCAAATTTTCAATGGGTCAATGACATTACAAGTATCGACGTAATGTCTGTGATACCCGACTCACCTATCGGTTACATTCTAGAAATCGACCTTGCGTATCCGCCCAGTCTTCATGGCGCTCACGCAAATTTGCCGTTCTGCCCGACGCGTGATAAGCCTCTCGGAAAACAACAGAACAGATTCCTTGCCACACCGTACGATAAGCGCCGTTACGTGACGTATTAGCGTAATTTACAGCAATGCGTTCGACACGGATTACGCGTTACAAAGATACATCGAATACTACGATTCGCGCAATCTCCGTGGCTGCGCGGATACATCGAACTGAATACGCAACTGCAAATTCGCGCGAAAGACGAGTTCCAGAAAAATCTATACAAATTGATGAATAATGCCCTGTTCGGCAAGACCATGAAGAACGTGCGTAATCATTTGGACGTTCGACTCGTAATTCCATGGGACGGACGATATGGCGCAGAAGCGATGATCGCGAAACCGAACTTCCACAGCAGAAGCGTCTTCGCGGAAGATCTCATAGCCGTAGAATTGCATAAACTCGAAATAAAGTTTGATAAACTAATCTATGCGGGTATGTGCATTCTCGATGTGTCTAAGATTCGTTTGTATAAATTTTACTACGAATATATGTTACCATTGTATCAGGACAAGTGTAGAGTAACATATACCAACATGAACAGTCTTATCTATCGCGTCGAGTGTGAGGATGCATACGAGGATATGAAGCGTGACATCGATAAATTCGGTACGAGTGATTACGCGACAGACAACGCGTACGGCATGCCGCTCGCTAATAAGAAAGTGTCAGGTTTGATGAAAGACGAGAACAATGGCGCGATCATGACGGAATTTGTCGGGCTCAGAGCGAAGATGTACGCACTACGAGTCTACGGTAGGAGCGACACGAAGAAAATCAAAGGTGTCAAGAGCAGCGTCGTCGCGAGAACGATAACATTCGACAATTACGCGCGTTGTCTGCGACGATCGAGATGACGTGCAAGCAATCCTGCATAACATCCAAGTTACACGAGGTGTACACGGTGTCGGAGTCGCGGTGAAGGTCGCACTCAGTCCACACAACGACAAGCGACTCGTCGTCTGGAACGACGGATACTTTACCGTGGGGGCATTTTAAAATACCGCTGTAAGGAGCGAAAAATGTCGTATATTATATCGAGAATTGTAATAAGTTGTGGCGGATAACCACCACAAAAGCTCAGACGCGCGAAGAACATACGCATCCCTGAGAACGACCGGCGATCACGCGCACGACACATAAAAGCGCGCGGCTGCTATCACGCGCCGAACACTGGCAAGCCCGCAGGAACTTCGGGAGCCCACCGAAATGCGGCGCCAACTGAGAGCCGCTACCAGCAAGTGAAATTCGTTGAGTGACAGTATATAAGGACACCAGCGGAGCGAAATAATTAGTCGCGGCTCAGCGCTGCTGGAGAGGACTTCTCTTGTGAAGCACGGCTGAGTTAGCGACGGCTGACAGAGCTCGGGTCCGTCAATTACTTTCTTTCGCGCCTTGTACAGACGCAGCAAACAAGTGTAATAAACCGCTTTCGCGAGGCGGTGACGGATAACTCGGTCGGGATCCGGGGCTCGTGAAAGGGTATCGAGAGACGAACGAAAGTGATGTTAGATAAAATATAATTTATTGCGTGTTGTAGTGTATATGTACAGCGTGTGTGTTTATGTGTGTGAGTGTGTATAGGTGTGCGGGTGTATTGGTGTGCGTGCGAGACGAGTGACGAGTGAGTGCGCAAATGTATAACAATAATTAGCTGGACGCAGAGTATCGAATGTAAGATCGTTATGTATGAGCGAATGATACAAGCGTGTGAGTGCGTGTCGGTGTATGTCAAGTACTTCCGACGGGGATGAGTACGCCCGTTCCTGTTTGCCTCGTCTTAATCGGTTTCGGAAGGATCGCTCTCGGAGATGCCGCAAACTCTCGGCGGAGGCTGAGTACTCCCAACTCCGTTTTCTCTCTCTGAGCGGTTAAGGATCTAGGCGGTTTCCAGGCGTCTTACAGACTCTGGCGGTGCGGAAGATCAGATCTCGATATTCAGAAACGCGCTCTATTTATACCGGTTTTCGGCGCGCGCGTCTGCGTAATTCGCCTATTGTTCTAACGGTATCTGGTTTATCGTTGAACCGGCGCGCGCGACTCGGGTATTTTCGGTAACGGTCGGGCGGTTACCCGAGCGCGTCGTCGGCTCTCGATGTTTTCGCGCGCCTAACGGCGGTTAGATGTTTACGCGTTTCTGATGTTATTTAAAAATGGGCAACGGTCGGTCGGTTACCTGAGCGCGTCGTCGGTTCTCGATGTTTTCGCGCGCCTAACGGCGGTTCGGTGTTTACGTGTTTCTGATGTTATTTAAAAATGGGCGCTCAGCGCCTCCGCCTTTGCCCGACCGGTGTTCGTCGGGCGGCGGACTTCCGGCGGATCGGCGGCCGGGTACGGTTTAGTAATGATGGGGGGAATGCATCGTTACACAAGGAGTAAGGAGACGTCCACGTCCGTTGCCGCCGCCCACCTCACCTGGGCCCTTTGAGCGGACAGGAGCGGAGCCTTCACCGGAAGCAACCTTCCCACATCCCGTCTGCTGGACGCTGAGGGAGTGGAAACTGCAGCCACTCGAGTTGTCGCCGGTGCATCGCACACGCCCTGGACGGGAGTTACTCTCGACGTAAAACGTACGAGTCCGGCGCTATACCTCGCCGACCTACGAGTGGAAGTGCCCGTCTAAGCTCTCTCCGCTACCATCTTCACCTTCGGAGCGGACAGCCCGAGGGACCCAGACACCCCGAGAGCAGGGTGCATCGCGGCACCCAGGTTCACTCCTCCACATACGAGAAGGCGACGCAGGCCTCCAACAACACTTGCGAGAGAGCCACGCAGTCCAACCTCTCAGACTGGGAGGAAGTGACGCAACACCAGGCCACGCAGACAGACGTTCCGACATCGCCGGAAAGGAGTTACATTCCTCCCGGGACTCCACTCGCGCTCCGGAAGTGGGGACCACTCCGGACGACTTTGACGGCATCTCATTTCCAGTGGCGAGAACGCCTGTCCTAACGCTTACACCCGCGTTCAATCGGCCCTTTTCAGGGCCACAAACAAACAAATCTAAAAATAAACACCTGTATATAACTAGCAACTTTGTAATTACGTAAGAATATATTTCTGTACATAGTAAATCGAACGTGTTCATTGAAGACTACCTCTCCACGACCACCCCCTGTTTACGAATCGTGGGGTAAGGAAGCCAGCGCGCCTCCGCACTACCACACAAAGTTTTATTTTCTAATTAATAAATAATAACATAGTTTATTTTATAAATAATAACAGTTTATGCAATAATATACATTTTAAATAAAATACATTTTAGATAATATACATTTTAAATAAAATACATTTTAAATAATGTACATTTTAAATAATATACATTTTAAATAAAATACATTTTAAATAATATACATTTTAAATATTAGAATACATTTTAAATAATATATATTTTAAATAAAGTACGTTTTAAATAATATACATTTTAAATAAAATATATTTTAAATAAAATACTATTTTTATCATACTATAGCTGCTTTATTTATCCAGGAATTATGCAACTCGTACATTCCCAACCATTTCATATAAAACTCGTTGCCTTTTCGGCGCAGCACTTTTTCAACAAGATATACGTCGGGATCGGAGACATGCAGCAGCTCGTACTCGTAGAATCCTCCGGCGATCAGTTCGTCGCACGAATCCTTCAGTAAATACGTCACGGGATTGGTTCGTTGTACCTTAACTATTCGAAAAATCTCGGTGGTCCAGTTGGGCGTAAAACCTTTCTCGAAGATTATCTTAAACTTGCTGATGCGTACCGGATCACCTATTTTGAATTTTGCCGGAACTGCAATCTTTATGTTACTGTACACTTTTTCTTTCTTTCTCATTGCAATCTGTCCTCAGACAATAATTAGCATAGATATCTGTACTTTCAGTACTGTATTCTTGAATTACTACTGGCTAGGAGTCCATTGATTCCTAAGACCATGTAAGGAGACTTTTCGGGATTCAAAATCTGTGTCAGGTCAAGTGTATTAATTCTCTTCAGCCTACTGAAGCGAACGCACGTCGGGTCGAGTAGTCCTGTGGCTAAAGTGTTAGGATGTTGAGAAAGACGTGTCGTGTAGTTTCCGCTGAATTTAGATATTTCTAATCGGACAATGTTGATTTTCAGGTCATCATAGATGAACTTGTTGCTGATATAATAAGGAATATCAAGCATGGTACGCAGAGTTTTGGTTTGAAACGCTCAATTATATCAATGTTGCTTTCTTTAGTTGCACCCCAAAGTTAGATGCCATAGGTCCAAACCGGCTTGAGTATGGACTTATAAATAGCGATTTTACTTTCAGGAGAAAGTTGCGAGCGTCTGCTAGCAAGCCAGTACATATTCCGCAGCTGCGTGTCCAGTTGTTTTCGTTTCGTCTATACATATATGTTTCCTCCAAGTAAGACGTCTATCTAAATACATGCCGAGATACTTGGCCTCGTCCGCTTGTGGTATAGCAATCTGGTTAATGAGTACCTGAGGGCAGGATGTTCGAGAGCGACTCGATTTCAAGCGCGACGAAACGCGAGGATTTGCGGAAGGACTTGACGTCACAAAAAAGCACTCACGTATTTCTATTTTCGTGTCTTTAATAATTAAAAGAAACAATAATGTCAATTAACATGAATAAAGCAACAGTTTTACACAGTACTAAACACAATGCACGATTAATCACAAAGGTATTCAAAAAGCCAAAAAAGAGATTGTCCAGGAACGAGCGGTTGTTATAAATGCGGTATATCACGAGAAATAACGGTTATCAAAAAAGAATAGCGGTTATCAAAAAGCGGTGAATCGTATGCGGTTACTCTGTGCGTTCTAAGCGAGTGTGTGTGCTCCTTGCGAGCAGGCTCTTTTATATTTTTCGAGCAACGATCCTTGTCGTTGCTCGCCGCCAATAGTTTTACTCCACTTTGCGATGTTCAAATTTCTAACGGGGCGCCGAGTTTAATTGGCCGCCGCGTGAAAATTCGCGTGGATTTTGGCGCGAGATCGAAATTCGCGCAAGCGATAAGCAGGCGGCCTACACGTCACGGCCTACGTCACGGCCTCGCGCGTGTCGGTACCGCAAGTCGAGCGTTCAACCGTCGGAGTTGTTTTCGCACTTATTTTGATACTTGTTTGCGACATGGGCTCGGTTATTAACACAAAAACTCTGAAAGACAATAACATTAGTCGAGCTGTTGGTATTTTTCGACTTTGAGATGGAAGATGTTTTAACAATTTTGCTAAGTCCATGCCGCAATGCGAAATTAGATTTAATGTAACTTTTAATGTTTCGATGCGATCTCAAACACCTGCGCAGAGTAAATGTCACGTGGGTAGATTTGGATTCGTTTACCTTTATTCTCCCTTTGACTAGCCACTTTTCTATTTCTATAATATTTCCCTGCAAGTTGCTGAAGGCGGTGCTAGGATGTGCGTCAGTTGAGAGTAGAGCAGTATCATCTGCAAACGTTCCCGTAATGACCTTTGGGTGCATGGGAAGATCGGCAGTGTAAAGAACGTAGAGTAGAGGACCAAGAATGCTTCCCTGTGTGACCGACGCTTTTATGGGTTTTAGTTTTGATAAAGAATCTTGAAATTTAACCTCAAAACATCTTTAAATATGATTTTAATAATAAATAGAATGGTTAAGGCAAGATTTTGTTTAATTTGTATAGCAGTCCAGTGTGCCAAACTTTGTCGAATGCCTGGTTTATATCCAGGAATACCGCTGAGCGTGATTATATTTCTTACTCTCCAATGTTTCATTGACAACATTCACTACTCTATGAACCTGTTCTATCGTGCTGCGTTTCTCTCTAAACCCGAATTTGTGTTGAGGAATGTAATCTCTTACTAAAGGTTTGATCCTTTTCAGCAACAGTTTTTTGAATACTTTTGATACAAGTGGCAGGAGGCTGATTGTTCGATAGGAAGATACCTCGCTTGGATTTTTCTTAGGTTTTGGTATCATAATGATCTGCGCTATTTTCCATTGAGCTGGATAGCAACCAGTTTTGAGAATTCTATTGAATATGGCGGTCATTAGCGTTATACCGTTTTTGGGGAGTTGTTTGATGATTTCAGCTGTTATGAGATCATATTCCGGAGCTTTTTTATTTTTTAGGCTCTTGACTGTTTTGAAAACCTCTTCAGAAAAAACGCTCATTCTGGTTAGAGCCATTTGGATCGGAGCTTCAAGGAAGTCGATCACTCCAACGTCAGTGTGTGGTTCGCGTGGAGGGTTAAGTTTGAAGGGAGCGGTGCACTTGGACACCGTACAATTGGACACGGTGCAAATGGATACGTTGCAAATGGACACGAAACTTTGCACACGACTCAATTGGACACAGTGCATTTGGACACAATAATTTTGGACACAGTAGCTTTTGGACACAGAAGAAAATTCATTTGGATACCGTTCAGTTGCACACCGTTCAGTCGCACACCGCTCAGTCGCACACCGCTCAGTCGCACACCGCTCAGTCGCACACCGCTCAGTCGCACACCGCTCAGTCGCACACCGCTCAGTCGCACACCGCTCAGTCGCACACCGCTCAGTCGCACACCGCTCAGTCGCACACCGCTCAGTCGCACACCGCTCAGTTGCACACCGTTCAGTCGCACACCGCTCAGTCGCACACCGCTCAGTCGCACACCGCTCAGTCGCACACCGTTCAGTCGCACACCGTTCAGTTGCACACCGTTAATTTGCCCACCGTAGTTGTAAAGCGAGGTCCACCCTGCCTACCGGCGGGGGGGGGGCGGGATGAGGGCCGGAGGTCCTCCT